TTATGCTATAAGTTTTTGGGGAGGTTAAAATTTTATTGTCGCAACAAACGCTATTCGAAAGGTTCTATTGCTGAAGGATATTTAGTAGAAGAGTGTATGACATTTTGTTCTCGTTATTTGGAAGATGTTGAAACGAGATTTAATAGACCTTCGAGAAATGTTGGTATGCAGCATACAAACTCAGCCTACAATTATCTTTTTCAAAGTTTTGGACAATCCATAGGCAAAGATGTGATGGAGTTAGACGATAAATTTTGGGCACAAGCACATCGATATGTTCTTTTTCATCATGACTTAATTGAATCGTTTCACACTTAAGTTGTTTAGCAAGAAAATTATTCATTACATTAGGCATAATTTATTGTTTTTTTTTATTGTTAATACTTTATCATGATGCTTTATAGTGAGTATAGAAATAATTTGAGAGATCCTGTATATTATCGACGATTAAACCTTCGAGAGGTTGATAAGTTGTTCGCTGAAAACTTTCATGAATGGTTAGGAGCAATTGTAAGTAATGCCATACTTTCCATTATTTTTTATCTACATAGAATGCTTATAGTAAAAATTACATTAATAACATATATATATTTATTCTACTTTTATAGGTTTGGAGTGGACGGCTTGTTAGTAAAGAGGTAAAGTGTCTTTCACACGGTTTGAACAGAATTGTGAAATGATACAAAGGTTTTATCATTAATGGATTTAGATTTCACATAAAATCTCATGAGAGATTTAGAAGTACATAAAATTCAAGAGTTGTTGTGACTTCATCAACTACTAACTATGCTAGTGTTAGGGACACAAACCCTTTAGAGGAAAATGTTGACTATTATGGCATGATTAATGACATCATTGAGTTGGATTATTATGGCAAGTGAAAAGTTGTCTTACTTTGATGTGATTGGGCTGATGTGAATAGTGCGAGGGGTCTTAAGAAAGATTAGTACGAATTTACACTTGTGAATTTTTCTCGATTAATTCACACTGGATAATAACTTATCGATAAACCTTATGTATTTTCATCTCAAGTCAAACAAGTATTTTACTTTGAAGATCCAAAAGAATTACGTTGGTTTATTGTTCTTCAAAACACACCTAGAGACTTATTTGATATGGGATTAGATACCAAAGATGATGTTGAACATAGAACTGAATGTTATCCTTTTGCTGAACAAAACTTAGATGAGAATATCTCCAGTACCTATGCTCAGTGGATCCGCGAAGATGTTACTGAAGACATTTACGAACCATGATTTCGTGCACCTATAATTTGTAATTCGAGTGTTTAAGACATAATGTAGTAAATCATAGTATGTAAATAATGTCATATTCGCTATTGTATAATTATTGTCTTCTAAATCATACATTATATTTTGACTTAATTTAATCGATATGTTCTTTATATATCGTAGGTTTTGATTTCTTAAATTGAAAATGTCTTTATATATCTTCTGAACTAACATTTTTTCTATATTCACTTTTATGATATAAGTAAGCTACAATGCGGAGAAGCAGGTTGAAAGTAAAACATATCAGAGATATTAGTTTAGAACTGTCTGTGGCACTTGTAGATATTGGCTATGGACTGAATCTTTTGGAGGCAAATGAATGTACTGTCGAATCTAACTCCGTCACTTCTAACCCTTCAATTGATATTGGATCTAGCAATACGGGAGGTCCAGGTTTAGATAGTACCTACTCAATTGATTATGTTTTAATTTAAATGCAGGTATGATATACTTCAATTTTAGAATTTGAGTATAATGACAAAAGTATTACGATTTTACAAATATGTTTTATATTTGTTGTAGTTGATAACAATGGTCAACAAAGGACCAGAGGTAGGATAACTTTGAAGAAATTGTTTGCACTACCTCCTAACGAGCGTATTGTAGTGTCTGCAAACTCTGATAGGCAACCAATTGGTGAAGAGGCTCAACTATTGGTTGAATTTCTAGGCATGCTAGCCCGTAATAGAATGAAATTGCCTATTCATTATGAAACATGGCATAATGTTCCAGAAGAAGTTAAGGCTGATACGTTAAATTTTATTGAGGTATTAGTATAATTAATTAGATATATTCAAATTTTTTATTTTTTATTTTGTTTACTTATTCAAACTTTTCTTATTGTATTATTACAGTCAAGATTTATACTTGAAATACCAACTTCATTTATGCTTAAGTCATTGAGAAAGAAATGAAAAGATTATAAGCATAGTTTGAAGAATAAGTATTTTGATCGAAATACTACTGTAGAGGTGATGATGTAAAATCAACCTTGTAATGTGATTAGGTGGCAATATGAACAATTAGTTAGATTTTGGTTCTCAAGAAAAGGAGAGGTACTAGTTTATAACTTTGTATAATATAATGAAATGATGAAAGTGTTTGATGGTTTCAGTTGATAATATTTGTATTTCTATCATATACGATATTATTTTTTATGATAGGAAAGAGAACAGATTGGGATTGGTAGTAGAAAGCAACAGAAATATAGCCACATAAGTGGATCAAAAAATTTTGCAAGAAAGCAAAAAGAAATCGTAAGTTATGATAATTAACTTATTCCAATGAATGAACTTTTTCTGCCATAAAAAGGTAAATATGAAAATTAATATTTATTGTTCTATTTTAATAGATTTGATTGTTTCAATACATGATATTAAACTTATCGAATGTTTTGAACTTAGTTACACAGATGATATGTATGAAAGTTACTATTTACGTATATTTACGCCTTTATTATCTGGTTGTTGTTATTGTTGTATTTTAACAATTTCGATAGCTTCAATACTTGATATTAAGCTTGTCTGATTGATTGAACTTGGTTTCTATGGTTGATATGGGAGAAAAAGTTATCAGTTATGTCTGTTTGGAAATATTTTTGCATATAAAAGGCAAATATACAAATAAATTTTGGATGCCTTTCAACTTATTGAATGGCTTCAATCCTTTATATTAAGCCAGGAGAAAATAATTGAATTTGGTTTTCATGATCGATATGTGTGAAAGCCCAAAATGCTTTTATTCTTTACGTATATTTAAGACTATTGTGTCGTTACATGGCCAAAATATAAATAAAGGAGATTAGAATTATTCGAAATTTTAATACTTGATTGACAAGATTGATATGCATAAATAAGTTACGATTGATATGTATCCTATCAAATAACATATGTTTTTATATAGGAGAATGAGATGGGCGGTACAATTGGACGTGTGAAACTTTTTCGCGTAACACACACAAAAAAATATAGATCTTACATGAATATCGAAACACAAGAAATTATGGTAATTTGTATAATCTATTTTAACATAAAGTAAATATTAACTTTTTTTAACATATAATCAATTAATTATTAAACTTGATAGTTGTATATGACAAATTCACAAGAAAAATGAAAGAGAAAATTACTACTGAGATTGAAGTAGCATCTGAAGGTGTTCTCTCAACATGTAAGAAATGAAAAATCGGATATTCATAAAAGTTGCTGAAAAAGAAAGGCACGGACGGATCCGAGGCCTTGGATTGGATCCAACACCATCTGCCTACTATAGACAACTCTTCGTAATTTACACTCTCAGCAAGTCAGTCTTCACGAGATATTTCAATATTGAGAGGGGAGTTGCAAACTATGCAACAATATTTTCAGCAAATGAAAACAGAAAGAGAACAGGAGCGTGCCAAAATTGAAGAAGAACATGCTAGAATGGAGCTAGGGCGTGCAAAATTTAAGCAATTACATGATCGACTCGATCATCTTATGAATTTTGTGTAACAATAATTTTTAGAAAATGATCTTGGTGCTCTATCAACTCAGGTATTATATTTAGTAAATATTAAAATTTTTAAATAAAAAATAAGCATACAATGAAGTGTTAAAAATTGTATGGTATTATTCAGTAGGTTATTGAGTACACTAGTGACCAAGGTGAAAATTTTTCTTCATCAATTGGTAGCCAGCAAAATGTATGTAGTCATCCATTTCATACATTTTAATTTTTTTATTTGGTTAATGTATTTACAATATTGGAATGTTATTATACTAATTATTAAACTTTGTATATTAGATGTATATTTAAACGTGAATAAAATTAATATTAATTTCAATTTTTGAATTTAAGCTCTTTACTGAAAATAAAATTTATTATAAGAAATTAAAATATATATTTTACATAATGTCGACGTTTACGTTGGGCAATGCTACTAAATGAATAATTTAGTGACGTTTGTAGCATAAAACGCCACTATAAGTAGTGGCGCTCTTTCAAGCAAACATCACTAGGTAGGTGGCGTTTTTTATAGAAACGCCTTCACCAACGACATTTTTCTCATAACAACGCCATTGAATTAGCAGCGCCTAAAAGATACAAATACAGTAAATATTGAGACATTTTCAGATTCAAACACTTCTAAAGTAGCGACGTTTTCTGTTACAAACATCGTCAATGCAATGACGTTTTTCTCATAAAAACGTCACTGAAATAGTGGCGACTAAATATAAACGCCGCTAAAATGACGGCATTTCAGATATAAACGCCGCTAGTATTGAGGCGATTTTTAGAAAACGTCGCTATTTACCGCGACATGTGTATAGGCGGCACTCTACGTGACATTTTTTCACAAATGCCACAACCTTATAGTAGCGTTAATAAACGCCACTAAACGGTAAAAAAAACGTCGCTAAAAACCAAAACCCCTGTAGTGTTTATATTCTATATATTATTGATGTATAATGTTATATACTGTCAGTACATTACAAGTTGCCATCTCATTAATAAATAAAATTAAAATTTAGAGACTTTAAAAATTAAATATCACAGAACATAAAATTAAAAGATATTTTTAAAGATTAAAATTTTTAGTTTACTGACGTATATTATCTATACACTAATAATGCATTAAATATAAATCTCATCTTAAAGCTTATAAAATTAGTCAAACAGTTTGAGGCGATAGAAAATAAAAAGCAAAAGTGAAAAAAAAAAAAAGTCTAATGAACCTCATCAAAAATAAAACCTATGAAAGTTACATATACCAAAATTTTTATAGAACTAGGCTAAATTATGTAAATAGGGGCTATGGCAAGAGGGATGAATATACGAGGAAATACTATATTATATATTCATAAAATATTAACATGGGAAAAGCAAAAATGATGGTTCTACATTAATCTTCCTATTAACAAAATTAATCTTGCTCAATTTGCTGTGGCACCAAAAAAGTTGGTCTTTTGTCACTTTTGACATGTTCAAAACTCTTGCCACTAACTTCAAATCCACTTGAGAGAAGAAGTAAAGGACTTGATCTGAACTTTCCTCTTGATTCTTCTTGAATTTTCTTAATATGCAGTTTCCACTTCTCAGTATGTCTTTAAGCTTCCTATCCTTCTGCAATTCCAATAGAAAACATGTGAAAAACAAATAAGATTACACCATTTTTATCTGCTTTGATAAAAGCTATTGGAAACTAACCTTTTGCAGATTTGTTTGAACCTCTGCTAAAAGTTCAAGATCGTTTGGCTCTAAAGGTTCCACTTGAGCTCCTTTCCTGGTCTTCTGGATCACCATATTTGCATCTTTATCAGCTCGAACGAATCGCCAAAATATTCTTATTGATTCCTCCATGATTTCTACAAGCATGTCACTTGTTATTGCATCATCATCTCTCCCTTTTCTTCTAGCCTTTCTTTTATCCTTCATACTATCCTCTACAGGGGAAATTAAGCTTGTATTAGCTAATGTTTCCTTCACTTTTGTTGCTTAAACAAGAAATGAGTACTCATTGAGTTATTGCTGTTAATGGCCCCACTTTATAAATGGCATATTTGAATAATGTTTTGTATGAAATTACATGTCACAATTTATATATACATAAAAAATACAAAATATATATTTTTATTTTAGTTAAACCTATATATGATTTTTTACTAAAATTTTAACTTATATCATATTCATGTCTTTTTTATATTGTGTCTTTAATTATCAGATCTATCCTCTTAGCTCAAAGGGTCTAATTGCATTAGGAGACATTCAACAACCAGTTACACTGTCACTATCTCAGGAAATAGACAATGCTTCACATATCATGGACAGGATTAGGAGTTCTTACCTCTAATAACTGGAACTTGAAGGAGATTACGTAGAACACATCGATTCTTGACGTAGTTTTGTACCCTTGGACCTTCAAAGGGTTCGTTCTCTATAAATCTTTGCATCAGCACTTGAAACTGTTGAAATTCATCGGCAACTTCATTGTATCGACGCATGCCATAAGGGTCAGATTCCCAAATTTCAATTGCTTTCTGATATTGCCAATGAAGTATTTCCCAAGAAAGGCACAGTTGCCCTACATAGACCATTTCTAAATCACCGTGAAGCTCCTTAATGAACTTTCTCATGGGATCGAGATCGGACTTTTTTCGCCTTCCTAGCCTGAGGTTTTGGGAGAGAAGAGATGTAATTGCTGGAGGTGAGGATGATTTGTGGCTTGAAATTGATTGAAGTGGATCCTTTGACTGAAGAAAGCCTACGAATTTGTCAAGAAACACGAGGGACAGGTTACTTTACATGAAACTTGAAATACAATTTAATGAAAAACGTATAAAGCAGATGTAATTGGCCAACTATACGTAAATCATAACCTAAAAAAGTCACTTATTAATCAGATAAAAAGAAAAAAAAAATCAAGTTCTTTTTAATGCAACATAGCTTTTCAAGTTGTCTTCTTTCTAACATTTCAATATTTAAGTGCTTTTTTTTTTTTTTTAACAAAAGAAGCTGTAGGCACGAGATAAAAGGAATAGATTAAACTTGTTGGATGCTACTGTTAAAGTTGATTACATAAATTAACCGAGTTTAATCTCTGATTCATTTTAAAATGCTTTTTACAAAAAAAAAATAAAAAAAAGCTTTGAAAAAGATTTTGTGGAGCATTAAAGCCGCAGCAAATTTTTTGTCATGAATTCAGTAGTAATTGAGAGTTAGGTAAAGCTTTCCCATAATAAGTCGGTGTCTTAAATGAAATTGTGGAATTAGGCTGAAATCTAAAGGTTGGTCGGACAGCACCAAAGACATAGATCATAGCACCATCAACTAACTAAAAATACTGTCATAAGGGAAATTGGGTTAATTTGATTTCCATAAGGTATTCTTTAGTAAATTATTCATAATTAAATTTATAGAACAATTGAAAAAAGCTTTAGCAAAAAGGGGTTACAAACATTAGAATCAGTCCTGGAATTATGAACATTTACACGCGTTTTCGCAGAAAAAGGTTTTTTCTGCCTCCAAACTCCTAAAGTGAAACATCTTTCCAAAAATCAAAAGGTAATATATGAACTAGTATATGAATCCCTCCTTCCTCCTACTTTCAAGTAACATTTACACCAATGCTTTTAATACTATTGTTGACAATTTTAAACACAATACTTAGACACAAAAAAATATAAAAGTCATACGATTAAAATTTTAATAAAAATCATATATGAGTTTGATAAAAACAAAAAAAAAAAAGATTTTCTATTTGATATGTGAACATGAATTATAATGTGTTAATTTTTATATTTTACATGTGATAAATATGAGATAAATAGACACAAATACATGAATTATCTATGCCTAACCCCATTTAGCAGATTAAGTGGGTCCTTTTTTGCCTAACTTCCCAAAGACTGCTTAAGTTAGAATGTGTTGTTAATTTTGATTGATTAACTAGAAAAAGATAAGCAGGAAGATGGTTCATAATTATGCAAAGAATTTGAAATGATAGCAGATAAATGAAAAGATAAAACAATAGTAGAAAAATGTAATCACCTAATGCTAAAGTTGAGTGATACTGACCTATTGCATACATCTTCTGGTAATTCAAGATATCGAATTTTCGCATTCTTTCTCTGTAACTCTTGTAGAATTTGTGAAGCTCACTCATTCTATCTACATGCTGGAACTTCTCATCAATCTTCCAAGGCTTCAAATCATCCATTATCTTCGGAGACTCAGATTCTTCTAAGATGGTAGGCAGGCCTGTGGCTCTAACCTTTTTCAGCTCCATCTTGAGTTGTTCTATCAGATCTTGATGCTCCCACAAAGTTTCCAAACCATTTGAATCCTCGGAATCCGACGAAAATGAATTATCTAAATTGGATTTTTCTGAATTATCCAAAGTATTTGCGGATTCATTGTCATTGCCACTAATTTCTTCCTGCTTGGAATCCTCATTCTGGTTTTCGGACTCTTCTAATTTTCTAAGCTCTTCCATTATATCTCTATGTTCATTGTCAAAATCATCAGCTTCTTCCAAGTCCATATCTTCCCTGGTTAATTTTCCCTTATGTCTGTCAACATTTCTTGAAGAATAAACCTCAAAATCTTCTTCAAAATCTCTATCTGATAAAAATCCGTCACTAGCTGAACCAATAAAATTACTCATATATTCAGGACTTGAAGTAATAGAATCCGTATCAGTCTCAGAAACAGGGAAGTCCTTCTCAGAAAGAAACTGAGAATTCCCTGAAACATCTTCTTGGCTTGGAAAATTATGCTCCACTTCAACTGCTTCTTCTTCACAAACAGTTTCTTCATTCTCTGACACTTTTTCTTTATTCTCTGTTATTTCTTCGGTAACTGCTTCATCCTTCAAATTTTGTTCCGGAAAATCCTCTTCTGACAATAACCCATTGTCAGAATCAGCATATAATTCTTTGACCCTAAAGCTCAAATCCTCTGGCATCTCCATTAAACAACTAATATCATTCCCTGACTTGAACTCATACTTGTTTGTGCTGGTGGAAGGAACAGATTCCAGGCCAACATTATAATTCTCGTCTCCTCTGAACTTCTTGCTGAATTCTTCAAAAGTTTGAGTTTGAAACTGAAACTTGAAAAAGAACTTCGGTGACTCTTTTTCTTCTTCACTTTCTTCACCCTCCAATACAATAGCATCAGGTTGGGCTTCCTCTGTTTTCTCTTCTGTGTGACCCTTTTGATCAATAGGATTAGGAATCGAATTCTTTATTTGAGAAATCTTATTTCTTTGAATCCTGAAAGGAGAAAAATAAAACACAATTATAATAGTAAGGAGAAACCATCATTTTCATTGTTTAAACAACAAAGCGAAGTCAAAATTGAGTTACCTGGAGAAAACTTTGCTGAAGAAATCAAACAGAGAAAAAATCAGGGCAGAGATGGAGACCAAGAAAAACCCACCAAAAGGAATCATCTTTTGAAAGAGAAACACATTAAAAGAAATCATATTCTTCAAATTAAAATGGGTATTGATCAAAAACTTCTTAAAGTACCCATCAATATAAACCATCAATCTCTTTTTTTTCAAGTTGAAGCCAAAAAACATAGTAATAGAAGTCCATAGGAACTCTGATTTTAACTTTGAAGTTTTGAATTCCAAAATAGACTTTTCATCTGTTAAAAAAACCCAAACCTGAAAAAAAACATGATGAAATTCAAGATTTTGCATGAAAATTAGGAACAAAAGAAGTTGAAATCTGACCTAATTTAAGTGAGATGTAACTTGATAAAAAGAAAGAAAGAAGAAAAGAACATGTCAGCTACTAAGGTGTTATTTCGAGCTAATCTTTGGTTGCTTAAAGCCTGCGAATTCTGAGAACCGTTATATGAGAGATTTAGAGAGAAGATTTTGATTTAGTTGAAAGGTCGGTTTTTACCTTGTATTCAGTGTGCAAAGTTTGGGAGTAGGAAAGCGAAAGACAATAAAATAAAATTGGGTTAAATTGAATGTTTACGCTTTTTTTTTTTAGGGTTGAGTTAGGAAGATATAATTACTTGGCAGAATTTTTTGACCAAGTATTAGGAAAATTAAGGCCGAGTTTTACTAGAATTGGGTGTTAGGCTTTGTGATCCAAGTCGGTGGACGCAGGGTGACGAAGTTTCCTAAATAATTTAACAAGAATAAAAGTAAAATACCGAAGAAAATAAAGAGAAAACTTTGTAAGAAAAAGTAGCAGAAAAGAGGGGAGATAAAGTATTCTTTTATGAATCAATAGCTTATTTGAAATGATTGATGTATTTATTTTTAAAAAATAAATTTTAATATAAATTTCAGTATCTAAAATTTTTTTTCTTGTGATTTTTTTATTCAATTTTTTTTATTATTAAAGATGGGTTGAGGGGTTAAAATTACTCGCTACTTATTATGGAAGATTGCTATAAGTCACTCTAATAGCAAGGAAATGGTAGACTTTAGAGAGTTTAGTTGAACCAAAACAAAGGAAAATAAATAATAAAGGAACTCCTTGGTTGAATTTATTGGTTTTTTTTTTATGGAATTAAAGTTTCTTCCTAGAAGCTTTTAGATCTCTTCATAAAGAAGTTTTAGTCCCCCTCCCTTGTTCAATTGTCATTAAACCTATTCTTATTCCAAGACCTGGCAAATAAGCATGAAATATACTAGTCAAAAGCATTAGGTTTGTGCCTTGTTGCTCACTTTTTACCACTCACAAACATTCATTATGCATGATCTACACACAACTTAAATTAGGATGGGATTGCATCTGTAAATGCTTTTCCCTCAGCAAGATTTGCCTTCAAAACCTACCCCAATCAACCCCTTATGCTTTTACCACTAAAATCAAATAGCCACCTCGTAATTGTGCTAATAAACAAGCAAGAGGAAGAGTTTTAAAAGTGCCCATGAACAAGATAATCTTGCTGTAAGTTTCTAAACCCATCTTGTAATTTACATATATACGCGTGTAACATTCATAAACATATTTATGTATTGAAAAATATATAAATTAATTTTTTTGAAATAAAGAGATACATCTACTTATTATTAAATCAAATATTCAAACATTATATGCACATTATTATCATATGAATATACCCAGCATCAAAGGAAGTATAATTATACTTACAAAGAAGTTGTATTATACAAATATACAAGCAATGTATACGGTTGGAAAAACTACTGTACAATCAGATACAAGATCAGATTCCCTCAACAGCAGTAAAATCACATGAATAGACCACGAAGTACATTGTTTTTGGCTAAAAAATAAAGTATATATCGAAATGAATGTCAAGATATATATTGCTGCTTGAGAGATGATTATCACTTTAACCTAACCTGGTAATTCTATAATTCAGCTTTCTTTTGGCTAAATTGGAATTTTGGAATGTTTTACAAAAGAATTACTTACTAGCAATATCACTTTCATTCAAATTGACTTGGAAAAGCCACAATGATTTTTTTTTTTTTTTTATACATAGGAAGGCACAACATAAAAATAGAAAATAATTACAAATGTTTAAATTTGAATCATTTAATTAATATATTATAAATGATATATCAGACAAATCTGATGTTGTTTTCAAATGCAAATTATCAGCAAAATGTCTGTTTCAGGACCTCATTAAAGACAATTAGAGGATATATATATATATATATATATATAGATATTTTCAAAAATCAATCCGAATATGGTGAACAATTGAAGCTCGAAAGTCATATTCTTTATCACATATGAAAAATATTAATTTAGTTACTTGTGCTATTTGATATTTGATTTTCCTTAGTTTGCTGTTGAAAGTGACAAGACTGAATTAAATTGTAAATTGTAAATCAATTTATGTATAATTTCTATAGTGGTTGAGAACATTTGTATCAAATACTATAGTTACAGCCCATTCTAAGTTTCCTTGTCTTCCAATTTTGGGGGTTGATGATTTTTCAAAGTATGCGAATAATGGAAGTTCGAGTTCGATAATTTTAGGTTCAGCGACCATCTCAAATAGCAAAATTTTCGCTTATTATTTGCATTAATTGGAGGTTTGAACTTTCATTTTTTGTTTTATGATCAAAACCCGATCAACTTGTTTAGTACAAAAGATTAACAAAGCTAGCGAGTAGCGACATTTTACAAAATATAGAATAACATCTATGCATTTGTTATTAAATCAATTGATATAATTCTGGTCCGGTGGTGCCAAGACTCATAAAAGATGAAACACCTGTTAGACGTATCACAAAGAAAAAAAAAAAGTAAGAAACATTGAAAATAGTATATATATATATATATATATATATATTTGAGATGCGCTCGGTACTCAAATCAACAAAATGTATTTAAAAAAAAAAATGAGAGCATATGATAGAGAGAGAAACCAAAAGGTAAGTTGAGTACAGAATATAATATATACTTAATCAGATTCTTTCTTTTATTCTTCAAAGGTAATGACGTGATTAATTAAACTATCATGTACAAATACTGATGATATGATAGGTAGAATATTATTAATGTAAGCATTAAAATATATCAAAATTAAATATTTTAAATAGTTCAAAAAATTTTATATGAGAAAAATTAAGTTAAAATTTTTTGTTCAACAGAAAAATTAAATTAAATTGCACCAACAAAAACATATCAAAACCAAAGTAAATAGGAACACAAATAAACCTCAAAGTTCGCTGCACACGTAAAACCGCGTCGGCCAACAGGGAAAGGTTTCACACGCTTTGCTAATAAGGAAACTAAAAAAGGAAAAGTATGAGATATCTCATTGAGCAAAAGTCAATAACACATGCAGAGCGTTACATAAGCCAGAAAAATTAAATTGGAAGGTTTCTTCGCGTCTTTTTTGTGCTTAACCCTTCAAATTTTCAACAAGAAATCTTTGTTTTTGTTTTTGATTCTATGAGAGGACCAGCCTGACCCACCAATTTTGACCTATGCTACGTAGAAAACAAAAGCCAGTACGTAGAAAACAAAAGCCAGAATTTGGTCAAATCATTCACTCTTCTAGATTATTAATTGTTTGGGGGACTTTTTTTTTCAAGTAGGAAAGAAAAACATGTTCGCATTGTCGGAAGATAACCAATTTCTCAAGTTGTATGACTTCTACAACTTTTGAGGGACAACACAAGATATTGAATCTTCTTCTAACATTATATAACTTAATCTTGTGTTTAGACAAAATATAAGTGTTTAAAAAGAAGAAAAAGACAAAAGTTTACGAGGCAAGTGTCATCCCTTATTGTCTACTCAAAGATACAATAAATTTTTTATACAAACGTATCTTTTGGTACCCAATATTTTATTCATGATTGGTGAAATTTTTAAATTTAAAAAACTAATGTTAAAATCTTGTCACATATATTTTATTTATCATATAAGTTTATTAATTTTTTTAGAAAAAATTATATAAAACAAATATTTCAATTAGCATTTTTTATATTTAAATTATATCATGTAATTATATATTTTTTTAAAATTAATAATTTATTATACATCACATATAATAGTTAAATAATAAATATTTATTTTAATAAAATCATTATTAATTCTAATAATAAATGATTGATTTTTTTTAATAATATAATTTCGTAACATAATTTTAATGAAATAGACTTATGTTGACGGAAAATAATTATTTTATATAATTTTATTTTAATCTTTTCAAATATAAATTAAAGAGAGTATATGACAATCTTTGCATTGATAAAATTTTTAAATTTTACTAAGAGTGCATTAAATAAAATTTGTTATTCTATCGTCTTTATTTTTATTTTTATTTTTACCAGAGTGATTACCCTAAATTGCATAGATTTTTTTTCTGATACAAAATGTATCGTTTTATGTGACTATAAAATACCAAAATTCATGTCTCATTTAAAGCTTCAACAACCAAAAATCATGTAAACCCATAAATCATACAAAATCTTCAGCAGGTTACCCTAGTAGCTAAGATAACCTTAAAAAAAATATTAAAACTAGGTTCAAATTTCAGTCTTTTCTCTCTCCTTTAATGTAGGATTTTGTCTTCATTGAATGATAAAATATATATATATATATATAAACCCAGAAATCGACTTTCCGTCGTCGCTGCCACCGCCCTTGAGGTCGTCGGCTGCCGCTCACCGACGCGGATTTGGTATCAAATTGCATATCCAAACTCCTCTTGGATCCCTCTTTTTATTTCTTATATTAGTATTCTTAAAAAAAGACCCAATAAGCCTAAATCTATTAAAAAACCCGCGTCTTCCAACTCCAAAAAATTTATCTCCACCGCTCCGAATGCCTCGATTTCTTGTTATGGTTTCCCATTCCTCTACTCTCCATTTTCACTGTTTTAGACCTTCCAAAGATTACTCACCGCCATAAGCCGCATCCGCTGCCACCAATGGTGACTCCCCCTTTTCCAAATTTCTGGAAACCACTTTTCTATTCTATCATTGGGTCTTCCTAACTTTCGTTTGAAACTTTTTCATTTTTTTCTCTTTTGGTGTATTATTTATTTATTATGTAAATTGTTTTTGTGATTCTTTTTGGCTAGCTTGTGTTGATGGGCAATGACTGTGTAATGACTTTTTCTGGTGGATAATGACTCTGTGTTGATGATTTGCTATGGCGGTAGGAGTTTTTTTTTCTGCTGGTAGATTGGGTTTCATTAAAAAAATTGTTGTATTGTGTTAGATCTAAAAAATTGTAGCTCTGCCTTTTGTTTTCTATTTTTTTAATTTTGGAATTTTAATCTTATTATTTTATATATTAAGTTATTTTTATTTTGATAAAGGGTAAATTAATTATTTACTATTTTGGACCGGCATCAATGATATGTTGTTTAGATATATTGTTTTAATATAATAGTATAGAAGTTTATATATTTTACATACCTCTTTGTGTTTACTAAATTATACATAAACAATTACTAAACATGTAATATATTGATAAAATGTTAGAATTTTAATTTTAAAATTTATATTTTATACATTATCGGTATATAAAATTAATAAATCAGA